AATTATGACATCGTTTTCACGGTTTAACTTTTTTTTCGCACAGTGAAACTGTTTTAATATGTAATTCATCGCTATCCTTAGAATATAGACGTTTGCATCAGAGTGTCCCGATTTCATCAACAACTCTTCGAACGAAAACATTACACAAAAATTGACCAACAAGTAAAGATGAAGTCAATCAACACGAACTGAATTAAAATTTTTCCAGATATGTTTTTTGAGTCACTCAAAAAAATGTTTTGCTTGTGCAATAGTCATTGCATAATAATACAGAATAACTAATTTTTGTCCTAGGAAAGATTTACGATCTTCAAAGTTGTACCTAATCTATAAATAAAAGGTTATTAAAAATGTGTCACGTGGATGAGTCACGAGTATGGAAGCTAGACGCAACATACGAGGGTCAATTGTGGTCGCGTTTGGAAACTGTTTTCAAGTATACACGGTGTATGTGAAACAAGTAGTTTATAAAAATCAGGAGTTTTCAAATGGAACACCATTATGAAAAATTGTTAACCATCAAGTTTATTTATACCTGAATGAAGTATTTTTCGAAATTTAGCTTTTTTTCTGAAATCAGTGTTTGTCTGTCCACACTTTTACTGAATCAGTGGTGAAAAATAATTTTCAGAAATTTTCTTCCGAGATATTCTTTTGATCAGCTTGTCTCATTTCTATACATAGTTTTCACAAAAAACATTGGACAGATGATTCAACCAAAGGTTTATCAATGAATATATCGAAAGATCAACGGCTAATAATTGTTCATATAGATGGTGAAATGAGATTTCTTGAAGAAGCCCTAATAANAAGTAGGTTATTGTCAGTTCTTGTGATAATGATTATTCAATATAGTAATTAGCTTTATTGAATGCTATCTCGCAGGCAACAACTCCAAAACACTATAATGATGCATCAAGGCTAGTTTTCACTATGATAGCTATTTCTCTATAAAGTGATGAAAAGATATAAAAATAATATTTTAATAAGGGTTCTACATGAAATTTGTTTATTTTAATTTGAAAGTGCAACAACAAAATCGCAAAAGTAAGCAATCCTGTATGTCCATAATCGTTGAGACCAACTGGTGAACCTTGTCCAAAGGACTCGAAAGCACAACAATCAGCTGGAAAGGTTATGGCAACGGTGTTTTGCTATGTGCGTGGTGTAATATTCATCGACTATCTTAAGAAGAGAAATACCATCAACAGCGAATATTATACAGGGCGTTCCAACGAAAACTTGACCCCACTGTGAATCAACGTGTAATTGAAATTTCAAAGAACACATCAATTCCTATTTCTAGAACGACTAATTCTGATATAGAAATCATACCCAAAACTTCAATGGCATGGGAGTTCGAGTGATATATCACTTGAAAGGTTTTTTTTTTCTCTACAACCTACTTCTGTAATCTATTTCTAAATTGGTTCTATCGTTATTGAGATATTGAATGTTGAAAGTTTTATTTAAGAAAAAACAGAAAATTCGCTGTCTCTCATTCTATTGAGGAAATCAACAAAAGAACAAAAGTAATATAACAGGCAACAAAATGTACAAAATGTTCGAGATGACCTCCCTCTAGTTCCATACAGTAATACAGTCTACTTTCGAAAGTGTTTCTTACATTACTGAAGATGTCCGGAGTCAGAAATCGGGATTCCAGAACAATTTTCTGTCGCAGGTCTTTAATATTTGTAGAATTTATTCGATTAGTAATAAACGTTTTGAAATGTACAACACTGTTAGTTTTTTCGCTTTGGTAGTTTTTGTTGAATCTAGTTGTCGCAGAACTGAAAGTAGATAGTTGGCAATTGTCACTTCTTCACGAATTATCATTCAATTTAATTTAATTCAATTCAATTCAATATCCTCGGAGTAAGGACATGAGAAGGCTATGGTCAAGCTTATCAATTCAATATATTTTTCAAAACCATTTCACATACAAACATCAAATCAATAATGTGGAAATAAATACAGTGTGTAACAACGAAAACTTAACAGAGCCGTTTTTGAATATAAAAAGTTAAATTTTCAAAAAAAGCTCGGACACGTCGATTTTTAATTAAAGGGGGTCACCTTTCAGACTAATCAGATTTTTTGTAGTACCCCCTCGGAGGGGTGCGTCCGACGACCCTTATTTAGATAGGGAAAGTAGGTCGAGTGGCACCTTGTTTTAAAGGTCTTTCCAATACCTTTACATCTCTGTTAAAAGAAAATTTTTGATTAGTTTTCGAGATAATTTGAAGATTTGAAGGTATTTTTATTGAGTTCAACTTTTTTTAAAATTAATCAAATTGTTTTTAAGGTACAATTTACGTTCAGAACTTTCATGAAAAAAATAAATTTTTGCTTTTTATGACAACCTGCTAATACGTGTCCATTTGATTTCGTAAAAAAGTAAGAATTATTTGTTTATTACGGGGAGATTTTTTCGGAGGATGGGGTTGGTTACCACCCTTACATTTTAGGTACCTCCTTATGAAGGTTGCCTTTTGACGTGGATATTTTATGCTTCTGATAAAAAAGTGAATCATACTAAAAACTTACCTACACAACGAATACAACCTGCTGATTTCCTTGAATGCTGATGACACAGAAAAGTTTAAAAAACTGTNAAAATAAATATTATAAATAAAATAATGGATATTGATTAGATGTTTGAGTTTTTTTTTTAATGACTCACTGAAGTAGACTCACGCTAGGCAAATATAGCCTGTTTTGTGATGTCTAAATCAGCATGGCATTTGTACAATTGTATAATTTATGTAATTGTATTCAAATGGTAAGTGAAGCTTTCTTACATTATTTTATGAATATAGAAAGAATATGAGAGGGAATTTAAAATTAGGGTTCAAATGATATGGAATAATTTGAATCATTTCGATTGGGTACAACCGCTTAGTGTGGTATTATTGTTAAATTTCGGTAGTGCATGTGAAGTTTAAAAATCTCTCTATTTTTTCGTTAATCATCTGTCGCCCCCATACGAACGACAACTCTCAGAAGTTGAAAAACTTGTGCGAGCTAAGGACTAACGAGGTGTTACCTTTTAACGTGTGACGCCTAACACGGCTGCAGAATCATCTCAGATTCAACCAGATAAATTTTCTCGAGAGAAATATCTGGTCGAGGCAGGAATCGAACCCACGGTCTTCCGATCGGGGACCACCGCGGCCAATTCCACAACAAGTGAATATATACAAATTATGAGTGAGTATTTATTTCACTGTAAAGTTGGAACTTTTTCTAGGTGATTATGTACATACTTTTTCGCCTCTTTTTTGAATAGTTTGAAGGATGTTACACCTTTTATATTTTTAGGTGAGATGTTAAAAATATTTGGGCCATAAAAAAAATTCTGGGTGACCGTTTTATTGAAGAATTCAATTTTTAGGTTCTGGTTCATTTTTGAACTCTTGAACGTTTCTGCGCGAAATCTGCTCGTTTATGGAACATTCTTATTAGACAATGATAAATGTATAGTGAATGAATATTCAACATGTTGGTTTCTTGATATAACTCTCTTGTTGAGAAGAGTCTATTTTTTTTAAAGATGATTTTCAATAGAGTACTTTGAGCTGTTTGTAACGGGTTAATAGCATTTTTGAATGTTGCACCCCCAAGCAGGAATACAATATTCAACCACATGTACATTTTCTGTAAATTTGTTTCTACAGTCATCCTTGTTCACTGTGTTGCAACATGGTTTATTCTACAGAAGAAAGAATAGATACTGTTGCAACCTATTATCGAAATAATGACTGGGCTAAAGCTGCTGAAAGAATTTATAATACGAATCATTCAGACCACAACGTGAGCCATCAATACGTTAAACAAGTAATGGATAAGTTTTTGGACATGTACAAATGAATAATGGACAATATATCAGACAAGTAGCAGGAGCGTCTGATGTATCGGCTACTAGTGTTTTTCGGATTTTGAAAGCCTACAAATTCCATCCTTTCAAAATAGGGCTCGTTCAGGAATTGAACGAAGATGATCTTGATCGTCGACTTCAGTTTCGTGAGATGTTCAGAAACAAATTGGCCAATAACACAAACCTACTGTACAATACATGTTTTTTTAGACGACTGTTTTTTCATGTTGAATGGTGAAGTGAATAAACATAATCGTCGTTACTGGAGCGATGTGTATCCTCATTTGGTGATGGAAAAACATTCACAAACTCCATAAAAATTGAGTGATTGGGCATACACATACATGGGTATGTGTCGGCATTTTTGGTAATCATATTGTTGGACCATTGTTCATTGAAGGTAATCTCAATGAAGACACATACTTAAATCTATAACAACAATGTATAGATCCTATGATTACACAAATTTTAGAAAATTATGACAATTTTGTGGAAAATGAAATAACATTCCAGCAGGATGGTGCACCCTACATTTTGATGTTCGGGTGAGACAGTTTTCCAATGCGTTAGATCGGCAGAAGGGATCCAGTGTATTATGAATTGAAGACTATCTAACTCACAACCCGTGCTTATTCGTACCAGATTTTTTTCAATACGAAAACATAATTGAACCCCCTGTATCTTTTTCAAGTTACTTTTATATTTGAATCTCCAGTTAATCGGCTTTACGTAAGATCCTCATTTTTCACTGGCCTGTCATTACGAATATCACCCGCGTAGGCCTGCAATCACATCGACAAACCCATAAGTGCATGTTTGCAGAAGTAACTTTCGATTATTTGGCAGTGATCTTGACGCGGCTGGCCATGCCTTTTCGACACATTTCACTTTCGATATGCGTTGAGGAAGTGGGTCACCGAGTCGAAACAGTTGAAAGCGAGATGCGCCGGGCCAAGGTGCCTTGATAACTATATATGTCGATGCGCATTTAACAATGGAGCTGCGGGACTGAATGACATAACCTCACTCTTATCAGAGTGACATGCAAGTGCACCAACTCACGGACGCGAACTTATCGATGAATAACATTGAATTTGGGCGGTAGTGGGACCCGACCCGACCATAAAAGATACCAGAGATCCCGGATTCTTCGACTGTTTACCATGCAGCTTCTCTGCGTCTTCGTTTGTTTCCTGGTGTCGCTAGTTGCCGGCAGGGGCGTACGAAACGGGTTTCCAAAGTTTCCGCAGCCGTCGTGCGGCTCGAGAATAGTTCAATGGAATCCAAATCGGGAGGCGAGGGTGATCGGAGGCGAAGAACCTCCTGTGGGGGCGGCGCCGTGGCAGATCGACTTGCGGCAGGACGGGAAGCATATTTGTGGGGGTGCCTTGATTGGAGCGAGGCTGGTTCTGTCTGCGGCTCACTGCTATAACGACGATTTGACGGCGGTTGCTGGAGCACACGGACCACCAGGTTAGTGATACTTGAAAAATATCAACATGACACAAGAAGTATCAAAAGATTACAAAGCACCGGAAACGATAGGCTTTTCACAAACTTTATTAATTTTCAAAAATATCAGATGCTTCGCTATCATCACCCCAAGTAATTTCCACTACACAGGCACATACTCAATCATAATCCACTCAACTTTTGTATATCTCAGACACATCCTCAATTATGATTAACACAAGCATATTATACAATGTGTAAAAGCCAATTGGAACAAATTCATTCTTTCGGATACTATACATATTTAAAAAAAAATCCGAAACACGTCAAATGTAAATTATAATTTGATATTCTTCATACAATCCCAAATTTTGTGAAAGGGAAGTATAGATTTATGATATATGGTTTGAAAGGTATCTTCATTCTCTATTCAAAAATGTTTATTGCATTAACTAAGATAAAATGAATTAAAACCATGTGATTACCGAAATTTGATAAAAAACATTCAAAAATTAAATGTAGTGCAAAACGTAATAAAATGTACAATACGAAAAACAACTATGGATGTTAACGAAGTAGATGTTCAAAATATTTACCGCGAACGTCTTGGCAACATCCTAATCTCAAATGAAACTGTCTTCTAACATTATTTAACATAAAATGTGGAATTGGCACTACCACCGCGACCATTGTAGAATTGGCTGCGGTGGTAGTGCGCTCGACTCAGGATCGGAAGGTCGTGGGTTCGATTCCTGCCTCGACCAGATAGGAATCATGTTAGGAACCATGTTATCACATGTTAAAAGGTAAGACCTCGTTAGTCCTTAGCTCGCACAAGTTCCTCAACTTCTAAGAGTTGTCGTTCGTATGGGGGCGACAGCTGATTAACGGAAAAACAGATTTTAAACAGACAGATCTAATCGCAAGCGTTATTCGTTCTTTTGTCATGCAAATCTGAAGGTTTAGTTTTGTACACATTGCTCTTTACATATTCCCGTAAAAGTAAATCTGATGATGACTATTGAACAGGCTTTCTTGCATATTGCACATGGTTTTGAGTATTGTTTTCATAATGTTGACCTACAATGTGGCTTAGTGTGGCCTTCTGTACACACCCATGACATATAATTTCGTTCCTGGTCTTTCGTTCCTGGTTCCTATGTTGAAGGATACTGATGTTTCTTCTTCATTGTGTTTATGTTTGTCTTCTTCTAATAACAGTCTTGCAATCAGGTTTTCTAGTCAGGTTTTCTTTGGTCTAGTCGAGTCCCATGCAGAACTGAAGTGCTTGAATTCGTCTGGAAGAATTATTAGTACATGGGTTCTGATAAAATTTTATATTCAGTACTTTCAGTTTGAAAACCAAATTCTTCAGTGTGCTTATATTCAAGTTCACATCCTTGAATGCATCATAATTATGATTATAGAACTCTTGAAGAAGCAAATACTTTTCTTGATTGTTGTCTCTTTTGTAGATACGCATCACCTGATGGCCAGGTGATCGCGCTGGCCATTAAATCGATCCTCGCCCCCCCGTCCACCGATTGGGAAATGTATTGAGGTATTGCCAAATATTACCTTGGTAATGTGGTGTTGCTACAACCTGCTGAAACCATATCTTATTCACTGGAACTTGATGGTTTCCTGGATCAAGATTTGCTAAACTTGGAATGACATAATTTAGAAGTAGTGCCAAATAATTATCGCCATTCAAGTTGCCCTCAATGAAAAAAGGACGGATGATATGGTTTCCTACAATCCCTGCCCAAACATTATCCTTCTGAGGGTATTACGTGTGTTGTTCTCTCATCCAGTGAGGATTTTCCGTTGACCAGTAGCGGCAACTTTGCCGATTAGCATGACCGTTAAGAGGCAAAGTACACTCATCAGAAAACATAAAAAACATAACGTCTTCTAATTGGATGATATTGTTATCCAACATGTCCATCAATTGCTCACAAAAATGAGTTCTTCTATCAAAATCGTCTTCCATGAGCCCCTGAGTAGGTATCATTTTATAGGGATACATTTTATTTCATTTCAATATGTTTACTATCGATGTATGGCTAACATTGAATGTGTGGATGCCTGTCTACTCGATGTATGTGGGTTTTCCTCAAACTCAAGCTTCACATCTAATTTGAGTTCATCACTCATTGCATTGGCAGCTGCTTTTCTTATCTGCCCCACATGACTCAGCTCGCGAAACTGCTTCTGTATTTTGCTTATTTTTCCGTGGGATATGGGCGGCAANGTATGTTAAACCAATCCGATCAAAAAAAGGATTCGTGGGGCACCCACTTTTCGAGATTTGGCCTTTCCAATACGTTTTGAACTGTCAAAAACAGCATGGGAATTGACGTCCAGCTGCTCCGTCATTCTATGTACCATTTGTGGTGAGTCAGTTTCCATAAGACTCATCAAATCCCCATCCTGGATTACTGTATGTCAACCACTTCGGGACTCATTTTCGAGGCTGCAATCTCCGTAATTAAATTTCGCAAACCATCAGTGATTTCATTAACACTATCATTGCCAAATGCCTGGTTGATTTTTCGGCAGCGCTTTGGTTCAATTTGAATTTGTAGAGAGAAATTGGCTGAGAATCTTTTAAGACATCATATAGTCCTAGTTATAAGCTGAAAAGAAATGAACATCCTCAGAGTATAGAGTACAACATTTTCTATCGATCAGTATTGTAATAACTACGGTAGATCCTATTCTATCAACAGTGTAGTAACGTACAAAAATCAAAAAGCCTGAATTGTGGAATTACATTTCTTAACCGAGAAGTCCTCGTGAAATCCCACTTTGCTGTTAGCAGTGTAACATCTACGGGTTTGTATATATATATATAAGTCACCAGTGAAATAATACTTAACTGTCTATCAATCCTTGGTAACTCTCTCGCTATTGTAGTGTTTCTTTTATTCAAATAAAAATTGGTAGCTGCTGTCACCAGAGCCGATTTCTCTACATCAAAATTTGGCAATTCCAAATAGGCTGTCTATAGGGTTCGTGCCAATCGCACGAAGGCCGGTCTTTTTGAAATCTGGTCATTTGATATACCTACTTATATTCTCTCTCATTATGTGGTTCCAGAACGATGCCGATGCTCTAACTGAATTTTAATCTTAGTTAAAATGTTTTCCGCTTACTATTGTCTTCTCGATAGATTGGCAAAAAGTCTATAATTTGTTTTTGTTGCCTTAACTTCATCTTACTCTACGACGATGGAATTTTTCTCAGTCCAAGAGAAAATGGAAGTCCAATGTTTCAAAGATAAAGTATGATAAATAAAACAACGACTCCAAGAACAAAATAATAAAAAACAAGTGTTATAAGAAAACAGAACAAAGGAAATGCCGCCAATGTTACCATGCTATTTACTATTAATTTAACCTGTTGAATAATTACAAATGGTACAATATACTTTCAGTTTTACTTCTACTTTAGGAATAGTGGTGAATAACTTTGGATTTGTATAAATCCAATTGTAATTGTAATATGAGTTCTAGCTACACAACCCGCACTAGGAACCCAACAATATATAACCTTTTTGCTAATAGGAAGTGTACTCAGACAAATTAATATGTGAAATCTATCTCAATATCAACTGGTTGGTAAAAAAAACAAACACTCACATAAAACCTCTTTGGTGGTTCATGACACACCGGTTCCATTGAACCGGTGTGTCTTCAACACCAACACTTTCATTTCGAACTCCCCTGTACCCAATACCGGCTTACGATTTCACTAATGAGTTTCCTTGAATTTCGCACCAAGTGCGTAGACAAAATAACTCCCCTAATTAGGCCACCTTTCTCAGCATCAAAGACCCCCCGGTCTTGTCTCGACGGGCTCCGGTGACTGTACAAACACTCACATAAAACCTCTTTGGTGGTTCATGACACACCGGTTCCATTGAACCGGTGTGTCTTCAATACCAACACTTTCATTTTGAACTCCCCTGTACCCAATACCGGCTTACGATTTCACTTATGAGTTTCCTTGAATTTTGCACCAAGTGCGTAGACAAAATAACTCCCCTAATTAGGCCACCTTTCTCAGCATCAAAGACCCCCCGGTCTTGTCTCGACGGGCTCCGGTGACTGACTCTCTGTGTTTCCGAAAAACTCCCAAGCCCTCGCGTCAGCAACGCTAGCCACAAAAACCTCATCCCAGCGTTTTTAACATTCTCAAGAGTACGATAATCGGCAGAATGTAATATATAAATTTGTTTAGTCTAGTCCAACTTGTACATGACTACAACAACGCTCAAAGGTCCGACAGTCATAAAGTAGTTCAAAGGCTTTTTCATCTGGAAAAATATCGACGCCAAAGAATCGGGTGATCGACCTTGATCTCAATGAATAAAATAAAATTTTACGTTAACCATCGCAATGGCAGTTATTACAGTATATGGCACGACACAGTAGGATAAGTATTCATTGAGATATGGAGCTACAAAAACATGACATTCAAACGGACAAAACTTTCGAAACAATGTTATCGTTTCTTTGGCAATCTGAAAAAAGTACCTTGTATATGCTTTGGTATATGCTTGAATTATTTGAATGAATTGTTGGTATATATTGAAAACAGAAAAGGGCCACTGGTGGATCCTTGAGGAACTCCACTAATATTTCAGTTCACCTTATCAAAAAACAGAAAACATCTCAATTGGAAATAATCATTTGAATGAAATTTCAAATATTACTTCAACACAAAATTCTCAAAATAATATAAGTACTCGGAATCAATTCAGAATGGTTTCTGGAAACATTAGTTTCTGTTCAATAGTCACGAATTATTCAAAGTATCGGGTATGGTTGTGAATTCACAAACATCCCTAATTAGAGCTGCCTAATAGTATTTTTGTCAACAGGTTCGTCACCCCATGAACAGCTCCTGAAAATCGAAAAATTCGTACCTCATCCCGATTTCCGAAAACTTGGACACTACTCTCACGACCTAGCAGTTCTGCTGGTCTCCTCTCCAGGCTTCAAGATGAACAGTCTCGTAGCCCCTGCCTGTTTCTCCCAAGAATCTCCCCCTTCAGGCACCTGGTGCGAAGTTTCGGGCTGGGGAGCAGATGACCCCAACGACTTGGACTCCTACTCCTCAGTTTTGAAAATAGCAGCTGTCCCCATAATCTCCTTGGACAAATGCAGACAGGACTCGATATATGGAGGAAGGCATCAGCAAATCCTCGATTCAATGATGTGTGCCGGGCATTTGAAAGGGGGGATTGACGCGTGTTTTGGTGACTCTGGGGGGCCTTTAGTTTGCGATAGGGGCGGCAGGATGGAGCTGGCTGGGATCACTTCTTGGGGTGATGGGTGTGCCAAGAAAAACAAGCCGGGGGTTTATACGAGGGTATCCAGTTTTTTGCCCTGGATAAATGATTGTGCACAAGATATGGGGGTTGATTTTTAGTTCTCCGATTTGTCGTGATTGAGATTGTGCTCTGCGTCATCTTTCTAGTGAAAGATGCAATACTCTAGCAGATTTATTTTTGAAAAAGTCGTTGAAATGGAAATGATAATGTTCTTGAGATATTGTACTGGCATAGTGTACTGAGTTTGTCTCTAACTAGTATTCAACCGAAAAAGATAATGAATTGATTAGAATAAGGTTAGAATTCGAAAAATAGTTTAACTGACAGACTTTTTTGGGGTACAAGTCGTTTATACTCTATGTTACTATTTGATTTCGTGCATATTTTTTATTTTGTCCCACTTCCTTTTTGTTAACCAGTCTGTGAATTATTGTGTTATAGTTGTCATGTCAGAAGAGAACGAGGTGGCCATTTTTTCAAATTATGAAAGTTATATTAAAAGTTAAAGGGTAAAAAACACAAGAATTTTCATTTTCACAGTTTTGATAGATTTCTGCTCACCAAGATCTTCTTCAAAAGTTAAAAAATTAACGCTTTGTTGAAAATGCTTCACGGAATTCGCTCAATTTGTACAATTTTTTTTTAATTCTTTGATTCAAACTGATTGGATATGCAGAGTGAACTATTTTTCAATCAGTTCTGGAAATTCCAAAGAGCCAGTTTGGAAGAACGGTATATCTTCCCTATTTGCCATATGTGTACAACCTTATTTGAATAAACCTGTATGAATAAAATCACCTGAGGTTATGTATCAGTTAATTACCAGTTTCCACATTTGAAAAAATATTCAGTTTTGGTGAGTTATTTGATTATATTTGATCATTCAGTAAATCAACCAAATTTTCGAATCTGTTTATTTCTAAACATTATTGAAGATTGAATTTTAAACTTTTCTCTTCTAAATGTAACACGCCATAGTCATGATTGGACTGATGTCCTTTTGCTAAAAGATGGTTTGCAAATGTAGAATTGATCGTTCCATTCTATGGTCTTTAATTTCTTGCAAAAAAGTTCTCCCCGTTTGGCCAATATAAAGTGTAGGGCACGAGCCATAATTCAACTTATATACTCCTGATCTATCTGACAAGTTTTGTCTTTATTGTTTTTAATAAATCTTACTAAACTATTATTTGTTCTGTAACCCACGTCCAAACATAAAAAAAGAGCTATACTATTGTTTCTTGGAGTTGGGTAGACCTAGTCCATGACTTGTTATTGTTTATGTAGCTTTATAGAAAGAGTGGTATCGATAATATGTGTCTTGTATCCGCTATTGACAGTGATTTGTTTCAGCTCTTTCTGTGTTAGGAATCACACGTTGAAAGGTAAGGCCTCATTAGTTTATAGCTCGCACAAGTTTCGATTTTTGAGAGTTGTCGTTCTCAGGGGGCTGTTTGACGGAGAAACACTTTAACGAATTTTAACAAACATACCTTTTTCAACACATTTTTTCAACAGACAGATGAAATAAACAACATCTTCGTTCAAAACCCTTCTTGGTTATTTTCAGATCGCCAGCAGATATTGAGCAGTTGTTGGTTATTTTGAGTCATATGCCAATACTAATATTGAAAATAAGAGGTATTACTGGTATTTCACAAGTTTAACAAATGATTCAAACATATATTGAAAAGTTCTGAACCAAAATAATTTGAGGTTATTCATGCAAGGGAAATACATTATCCATTTTGTCAAAGGCCTTTGAATGTGATGTGTTTCTTCATGAAGTTTTGTTGGTTGTTATTTATACTATTGTGGACATACATTTCTCAAAACATAATGATCTGTTGTCTCTGTCCCTTTGGTGCATTAGCTAGTAACAGGTTTCTGTTCGTCCCCATAGTCAGTTTCTAGTGGTTAATTTAAATTGACCCTGCTATCATCCCATGAAGGAATGAGCTGACCGAGTTCTTACCGTGCTCAGCTTTCTCCTTAAATCGTGTAGGTGTTCCGCTTCATCATGCCAGGAAGCTATTAGGGGCATTTCGAAAAAAATATGTTGAAACAAATTCAAAAGTAAGTAGTCAGGCGAGATGGTGGACGAACCATATAGCTGTGAAGGTCCTATCAAATAATTTGCCAGGAGTAGCGGAAGCCTCAGAAGTTAAGCCAACTTCTCATGCTCCAGAAGCTAAGTACGAGGCAGATCATCTCTTAACTGCTAGAATAAATTCCTAATTCAACTATTTGGGCAAATATTCTCCGCGATATCAATCGAGTGAATATAGAAATATAAAAACAAGATATTACCCTTGCCCTTTCCGTTGCACGAATGAATGGTCTGCTGCAGAAAATGAGAAAAATTCCAATGGAATATTGGAGGCTGAAGAAGTTGCTGAAAACATCTGGTGTCACGCCTATTTTGCAAAACAAACGAATTTCGAAATGTAAAAAACATTTCGATAAGATGTGTGAAGACGAATTAAAAACACCCCTACCTGTTCAACTATTTTCGAAAGGAATAATGATGATACTTGAGAGGTTTGATTGTGCTATCATGCTGAATATGTTGAAAATGTCAATTGAAGAACTGCAAAAGTATGGAGCAGCTTTGGGTCGAAAACACGAGCGGAATTTAAGCACAGTTGAATTTTGCCAGGAACTCAGCGTTTTTGGAGAGCAAGCTCCACTTTTATTCGGTGATATATATATATAGAAAAAGCTAACGGTTTCTATCTCTTGCAACATATCTATGCGTATTATTTGCAGGATGATGTTCCTTATATTTGTATTGTCCTGCGAATTTACTCTACGCTTCCTACTACACTCGCAAGTTGTGAGCGGAGTTTCAGCAAACTAAGACTAATTGAAAATTATGTGCTATTTACTATGAGCCAGAAACGCTTATAGAGTCTTGCAATTTTACCGATAGAAAATCGAATTCTACACGAGAAAACAGGATTATTTCCAGAAGACCTATGTTCAAATGTCAATCAATTAGTGGAGATGAATGAAGGGCGGTGGCGGCATTTTTCAGTATTTGGCCAGTCTAAAAATATTGAAGATCCAGGGTTGTTGCTATGTTGAATCAGTTCTCAGACTTAGTATTTCTTCAATGCCTTTAGTGACTCTGGGCTAATATTTTGCAATATGAGTTAAAGGCAGATTGTTAGTTAGCCTCTTCCATATTTGTAGATTGAATGAAATGAAATAGAACGAAAAGTCGAAATCACTGAAATTATTGGATCAAAGTATTTGAATGAGTTAGTTAAAACACGAAAGATCGAGCAAAAATCAATAAGTAATGAGTATAAAAATATCAAAAAATGTAAAAACAACAATTTGTGAAGCGAATATAAACTATTATGATCTGAAAAAAAAGGAAAGATAGGAAAATATGCAAACCAAGTTACTTCTCGACAATCGTCTTTGGGTGATAGTTATATACATCCGAAGAATTGTGAATACTTATAATCGAAAAGTGATTGAATAACTTGAAAAAGAAAAAATTCAAATTGAGTTACACAAAGCTTATTGTTAAATTATCTGAAAATGGAACTTTTAACAGGTGATGATCGACTGTATTGCCAAACATGCGCAAAACTAACTGACTTTCATGAGAAAACAAGTATAGCTGAGGCACCAGTCAATCTAATAATAACACTGATGATCTTCAAACATGACTCAGCCTCTGACGAAAGTACCAAACTCTTACGAGGTTCAAAACAGATAAACAGCAATAGATGAATGGTGGTCTAGCAGACCACCATTATAATATTCATGCAGTCATTGTTCACTGTGGTTCTGACGTTGAATTTGGTCATTATTACGTGTCAAAAAGTGTTTTGGCAATGTATTGAATTTATTAGAGCCTCTGAAGACACCCTACATCTTTTTTTATGAGAGAGAGAACATTGGCAGATCAAGATCTTCAGATAATGTGGTGCTAACAAAGCAAATGCGCCACTGGAATCAATGATGTCGCCCCGGAGCGCCAATTAATTTTTATTTCTGTTTCTTGATTTGTATTTTGGAAGTGTTGACTATATTTGAATATTTTCATTTCATGTCACAATAATTTGCTTTAGGAATTAGTGTTCTTACATTTTGTGAGTTTTGTACTCCTTCAATTTTTAGTTATTTCAATAATAACATTTCATTGATTTCAAGTTTATTTATTTTTCCATAGATTTCAAATCTGTCAACACTTTTCGTAGACAATTAATGAATCTATTTATTTTTTCTATCTCTTGCAGTTTTCCACGGCATTTTGAGGTCCATTACAGTATCTCTTTCGGGTTCATCAAGTGTGCAGATAGACAAACAGAGAGAACTTTGACCTTTCCTTCTTTTCCAGTTAGGTAACTTCGGTACTAAAATTCCGGGTACTTTTCCCAAACACCAGGACTGCAACAAATATCCAATTAGTTGGTGAAACGCATAGCTACAGGGTTTCATTTTGAGACTTTGTCATCTAGAAATGAGAATGTTTGTGAAAATTGTATATTCATTATCATGGAATATGCATATGTAATCTGTTACGAAACAACACAATGACTTTTACATAAACTATGATGGACTACATGGTGATAATCAATATCAAACTTGCTGGATTCTCTGGAAATTAACAAGGTAACAAATAGATTTCCAATTGAACTACAAACAAAAAGGTAATCTCCCACCACTCTCAAATCTATATGTCGAGAAAATTACTAGGATTAGTCGAATCATTAGTAACCTGGATACTTGTTCTTACCATTTGGTGATCTCTAAGGATGAAGGTTGATAATTTGTACACATTGCATTCTGGATTAGTGTAGAGTACTAGTCCAGTTGAAGAAACTACTGTTGTAGTGGGAATAAAGTCCATATTGTGAAAATTTGTAATAAGCATAATAACACTTATAGGTTTATCAGCAAAGTTACAAATAAAATATTTCACTCCTCATGAATAATTTATTTATAAAGTAAATACCTTTATACAGAAAAAGATTACAGACAATATAATAATATTAGTAATATGTATATTGTACTAGATACTATCAATTTTTATTGCTTTCTAAGTAGACTAGTTCAATGCCGTTCCTCCGGAACCGGAGCAATGAGTCTCTGCATGCTGAGATACTCGTTACCGGATCGTGGCCTCAAAGTGCAGCTCGGAGGAGGAACGTCTCCAGAGCTGTGAGAAGACAAAGACAGCGTCTCGAAATAGTCCGACATGTCAGAAGTCCCGCTACTGGTCGACCCGGAAGGACAAACTGGAACCTCCGCCTCTGCGCTCGCGGATTTGTTGTTATCGGCCTTGTTGAACTGGAACGTGAGGTCCTTTAGAGGATCAGAGGACTTGGACCTCCTCGGCAAGGTCTGGTTGGCGTATACTTGGGGTCTACGCGGCAGCTCAAACACCCCAGAGTCGTTGGAGCTAGAGGAATCCCTGTTAGACTTGCAAGGGACCGAGGAGGACCTCCTCACAGCGATAGAGTGAGCACAGTGACACGGGGAAGTTTCCGGTTCAGGCTCCGGCTCACAGCGACTCGTGGACGAGTCCGCGGAGTTGGACCGCTTCCTCCTGACGTCTAGATTGTCCGCGTTGTCCAGCATTTGTTTCCGTTGGTAGACGTTGGCCTGGAACATGGAAGAACCAGACGGCTTGTTGGATCTGTCCAGCGCTGGACCCAGATTTGGGTTGCTGTTCGATAGTACTTTTCCTAGTCGCTGCTTCACGGCGGGAGACATCGGGATGTACCCCGGATGGGGCTGCGACGGCTTGTTGGAGGGCTCCATCATGAGGTAGTCGTCTTGAGCATGGCCGCACTTGGCGCACAAAGCCTTGGCTTTGTCAGCGATTTCCTTGCTGTTCTCGTAAAGTTGCAGAGTTTGAGCGAATTCCATATTCTCGTAGTTGGTGGTAGTTGCTGTTGCTGAGGCGGTTAGATTCGCGTAGTTGGCACCGATGGACACAGGCTGCTGGCGGTGTGTCTTCTTGGAGTAGTCTACGGTGGCGTATATAGCGTGGATGTCTTCCGTGGCGGACCAGCAGGACATGAGGCGTTGGCAGACGCATGGCCTCTCTGGTTCCGGTTGGCGAACGCGGACCACGCAGCCGCAAGGCTTTTGGATGGTGTCGAATCCGAAGTTTTGGATGCATTCCTTCAACTTTCGTGGAGTGTCGTACAGCTCGTCGATTTTCGGCTCCTGCAATGAAAAATAATTGTTGTACGGTATAATGCAAGAATAATTTTTTGATTATGCTAAGTATGCCTAATGAAGCGTGTTTTTTAAATTCATGACTGTAATGAGAACCTATGATGTATATATTGTGTTGAAGAGACGGTGTAGATATTGTATTGAGGGGACAGGAATAGTATTGAATATTACTGGAGTTTTTCCCAACACCAAATCGTTATTTTTAACACCTCGATCAACAAGTGATCATCTCCAAAGAGAAAGATTAAAACTAGAAACTAATGCGAAGCTAACCCTATTTATGCTATATAGGTATCCCATACAGGTAAATCATTTAGGCGTACCACCCATACAGGTATACCAACCTAAATTGATCTTACAATTTTCCCTTACCTATTATTTTACAATATATGTTTATATAAAACAATTTTCAGATATATAAAACTTAATTTCACAATATTGCCTATCTATTACTGCAAATTTTCTCTTTACTTCGAAACAAATTTCACAACTGTCCGCCCTCTGTTGGAGACTTACTGCATCTCAGTATTACTATAGAATTTGAGACCTCAAACTTTATTATTTTGTTTGAGAGGAATTTTACGCCGTCTTCGTGCGCCGTCTGTTAAAGATTTATAATACTAGTGGGACGGGAAAGGTATTCTTCGTTTCAGATTGAATAAACGGAAATAGGTTTCAATGAAAGAGATAGAAATGGTTCATTGATGTAAACGGTCTTCATAGTTTCAAATAGTCTTCACTGTTCTGAATAGTTCTTTATTGTTTTGAATATTCATTCATTGTCTCAAATAGTTCATTGTTTTGGAGTTCTTGATTTAAAAAAATATTCTTCATTGATTCAGATGGTTCATGGTTCCTCATTCTGTCAAATAGTCTCCATAATTCGAAAATTCTTCGCTGTCATGTCAAAGTTTTCATTGTTTTTCATAGTCCTTTATTGTTTTGAATAGTCATTGTCTCAAATAATTCATTGTTTTGAAGTAGTGTTTATTATTTTTGTTAGTCTTCATTGTTTAAGATAGTCTACATAATTTTGAATGTCAGCCATTGTTTGAGAATTTTTCCATTGTTTTAAATAATCTTCATTGTTTCCGATAGTCTTTGTTGTTATTAGTAGTCTTCACTGTTGTGGATAGTTCTCATTGTTTTAAAGAGTATAATCGTTTTAAATAGTCTTTATAGTTTTGAAAAGTTTTCAAGGGACCTTGAACACAGAGTAATAAATCAAAACTGACTCTGGAAGAAAATGATGAACACTTATTGGATTTATATATGGGATAAAACTGTTGGGTAACTTTGAAAATGAGAAAGGCAGCGCACTGAGCGTTTGGGGTAACAGTTTTCTTTCAACAGACTTCATTATTAAAATGTAGTTCTGGTGACTTTCACATATAAAGAAGATCAGAAAGTTGTGAGCAAGAAGCAGCTACAGAATGAGGATGGAATTTATGTTGACATTTTGTATTTGATAACTTGATTGAAAATGGTTGCAATAAATATCAACATACTATACATATACATATAAAATATTTCGTTTATGATTGTTATTCGGGAATCTAGTTCACTGTCGATCTCATAGATGGCGTTTTTGTAAGGTGAGATGTCGTCTCTCTAACATACTGTACATAGTTCAAATACAAGATTTTTTCCCTATCTCCTGGACAATTATAAAAGACATGGAATCAGATGATGAAATAAGTCATCAAGAAACATAAATAGTAACATAAAATAACACCAGAAAACAGATTTCGTGAAAGTTTCATAAAAGGCACAGTCTGAAAAAAATCTGAAGGTCTGTTTCAACAAATCAGGTATTGACTGTATACTTTCTGGACTCTAATGATAAGGACACCTGAACTGAACAGGGCTTCATAGTGGTGATTCTTTTCCAGATAATGTGCAATTACACAGGAAAAAAGCTGACAGACACAAAACTACAAAAAACTATATACTTGCGAATTGTTGGTTGAAATCGATAACATGTTGAACACAGTAAGGAATTTGGATAACTGGAATTTATAGTAGACGAAAACATTAAAAAAATGATATTTGAAGAAGAACAGCAATTGCCCAGCTAAACATGGAACGAAGACATGTCAAAGACGAAACATATAACAAAGAGACCAACTCAGTTGTGATGGTAACCCTACGGTTCTGTACTTGACCCCATTTTCCCATACTGTATATATGTCTTTCCGCTAGTATTTTGGAAATGTACAAACTGATATTTTGTGAGAATACTCACCACGGGATATGGTATTTTAGGAATGTCGTAGTTATCGTAGGACGGCGGAGGCAGTGCAGCAGGTTTCTTTGGTGATGGGGAAGTTGTTCCTGGTTTTGGAGGCCTCGCAGGCGGTTTGGTAACTGCTTGACTCCAGCCACTGCTATCTGAACTACTACTGATTGAATGGCGGTCACACGCATGCTCCCAACATGGCGTTCCAACTGTTACTGTTGCCGTAGAGGATCTAAAATATAATAGAGAATAGATCCAATTCATAATGTCATATCATTGGATTGTTACTAATTTTATTTATAAATAATTCTCACCTTGACATCGCTCCCAGTTTGCTGATACAGCTCATACAACGTTCTATAGGTGGTGGTCCCCAGCCGTCATTTGATATACTATCACCACAGCCATAATTGCTCTCCATATCAGTGTATGGAGAATTTGCTCTGGAATTCAATGAAGACTCGCTCAGTTCCAGAGAAACACCTCCAGTAGCTCTCATGGGAAGCCTACGTGGACTATCCAGTACTGAAATAATATTGAAATAGTTGATGACAAAAACAAATATAAAACTTGGTGAATTAATAGAGTCTGCTAACAGGGACTTCCAAAGTTTGATATTTGCTAACGGCCATCTTGTTGAAGCTATATCCGTCAAAGTATTTGTCATTAATGTATATATTGGTTAAGATAATAAAGAACATATTGTTCTATTCTGTTCTATTCCGTGTTAGGAATCACACGTTAAAAGGTAAGACCTCGTTAGTCCTCAGCTCGCACAAGTTTCACAACTTTTGAGAGTTGTCTTTCGTATGGAAGCGATAACTGATTAGAGAAAAATAGATTTTAAACAGATTTATTGGGGCAGTATTCTATCATTTCTCAAAAGCGTTAGAATGCGTGAACTATGAAACACTATCATTTAAACTTCAGTGATATGACTTTAGAGGATTGTCATATAAGTGGCTTCACAGTTATGTAACAGGAATGAAGCAGTTAGTGAAACTCCAAGGAAATACATCGCATATTGAGAATACTTCATCAGGTGTACCACAAGGTTTGGTTCCGGGTCCTATCCTTCTTCTGCTTTATCTGAATGATCTGGTAACCATTGACATTGAAGTTAACACTTTTTGCGGATGTCACCACGATCCTTTGACGTGGGACAGATAAAGATAATCTCAGAGATATCCTAACTCTGGATCTCTATAGGGTTAAACAGTGGTGCGATTCAAACTCTTTATGCTTCAACACGAATAAAACAAACATAGTTTGTTTCAAAGTCAATTTTGACGACTTATTTATAGAAAATCACGCTATAGATGAAAAAAACTCACACAAAATATTCAGGGGTGTTTATTACCTACTCAAAATTTGATGAGCATATAACAAACTTATGCAAAAAATAGCATCTGGCTGGTATGCAGTTTGAGTTGTTTCTGACGAACTCAATCAATTCTCAGCCAGAACTGTGTATTTTTCCTTGAGAGAGTCGCACTTGAGATATGGAATTGCCTTTTGGGGCTTCTGTAGTCAGCGACTACTAAATTCAGTATTCGTTCTACAAAAAAGAATCGTCAGATACATATGTAGAGCAAAATCACAAGACCACTGCAAACCACTTTTTTTCATCAGTCAGAAAATTCTTAATGTACCTTGTTTGTTCATTTTAGAAACCGTTTGCCTAATTCACAAAAAAATACTCCAACTCAACAGCAAATCATGATAGATGTTACCACACGAGAGGAAGTCGGAATTTACCCTTGCCAATTTCAAAATCAGCAATTAGAAAATTTTCTTTTTGAAAACTGAAAAACAAATTAATAGTTGGTCCTGGTCAAATTCTTAGTCTTATAGTTGAAGATTATGGCATCAATGGACCTTTCAAAGTATTTATTCATTTTGATACTGTCAACAGACTTATTTCCTAGCATTTGGAAGACAGCTAGAGTATGCCCCATTCAAAAAGAAGTGATTCAGCGCTGGTATCAAACTGTCTGTTCATATCATTTCTGTGCAATTCCTCAAATTTGTGGTGTGAGTTCATATATAGCTGAATTGAAAACTTCATTTCGATTGATGAACATGGTTTCGTCGAACATGGTTTCGTGTTACCAACCATTTTTTTATAGTTTGCTTCAGCTTTTTGTGTCTCATCATTTTGATCGCATGCATCAGTCGGATATTCACTCATTCACCCTTGGAGTGCCCCAAGGTTCAAATCTTGGCCTTCTCCTTTTCTTGCTATTGATGACCTTCTATGGCACATGAAGTCTCCCAAACTATTATAGGCTGGATATTTGAAGGTTCATAACATTGAATGTGGTGAATATTGATTGAAATTGCCGAAAGGTATCACAAAAGTTTTTAACTAGTGTTCTGTGAATCACCTTCAACTCAATATCACCAAAACTTCCGTGAAGAACTTCTGAAAAAACAGGCTATTAGCGAATATGCACACACCATTCAGGGAATCCCGCTACAATGAAATAATTAAATCAAAGATCTTGGCATTACTTTTGATCAAAAGCTGACCTACGTACCTATTTGAAGGAAATTATCTCGTCGGCTAACAGGATGTATGGTTTCATGATAAGACTATGAAGTTGAAATTATGATTACTCTTTACTACAGCTACGTCCGAAGTGAGCTAGAATATGGAGTATTCATTTGGTATCCTGTCTATCATGTCCATATTGCCAATATCGATTTCAGAAAATATTTCTGAAACACTTTTTTTTCAAAACGATAGAAAATTATTGGCGAATGCGAACAGATCTTCATTCTTCATTTCATTATTTCGAATACACGTAGACTGTTTCTGAACGTTACATTTCTTCACGATTTGATAGATGAAATCGATTATATCAATTTACAGTTGCAAATTGATTTTTCAGTACCTCAGTTCTACTCGCGATATCAGCGACTAAGGAAATTGTAGAGTAGTGCCAGCATACTGATGCAGGGGCCCAATAATGGATCCTTAGGGAATTCAGATATTTCATTTTTGATATTGATCATTTTCTGTGACAATTCTGTGAGAATTGTGTTTATTGTCGATGGGGCAGAGTATCAAACAATGACAAACAGTGAACAACATTCAGCAAGAGAAATTTACCAAGTGTTACTACCATTACTTGAATAGAAAGTGGCAACGGTAAACTTCCTACTCGTATGGAAGCCACGTATCTTTATTTGACTTTGTTTTTAAGCAGATCTGTTATTTTATCATTATTTTCCCAAACTCACCCGACATATTCCTAGAAACAGGTCTCCTCCTGGACGAATGTAGATTACCCGTTGATGCAACTTTCAACGTGGACGTGATTTCTTCACCCTGATCCGTAAGTAGTACATATAAACCCTCTCCCTTGATACACCTAGATCCACCCTCGAAGCAAAACCTCCCCTCCACCACCCCATATCTCCTTAAATTACTAATAAGCCACTGTCCAGCTATCCTGGGTGGTACTCCCGTTGTCAAACAGAAACCCCTTTCTTGAACGTGCAACCTGGCAGGTCCCGGCGGTAACCTGGACTTCGGTGGGGCGGAAGAGACCAAGACCAGAAAATGAGGGCCGTCGTTTAGATGGAAACTCAGTTTTACCTGAAAAATAAATATAATGAAATGTTTTCTTTGCACATATAATGCTATTCATTAGAAGTATCATATGGTCACTGAAGATGACCAACGCAGTTTTGGACAAAACGTTGAATGTTTCCGCCTTCTCATACGAGATCGGATCACGGCTCACTACATCAATAACATCATTCATTTCAATAAAATACTGAGCCGCATATTGCTTCTTTTTTACATAAAACACGACCTTCATCTTCAACAAGACAACTTACGTAGGGTATCTCAAGGTTCAGTAATGGGGCCTCCATTATGTATCATTTATACACATGAAAAAAATTCGGGGACAAGCTATTGAATGAAAATAATCAGTTCATAATTGAGAAGAAGCAAATAAAAAGTAATATATATTTATTCCATGGGTTATTATTTACTACAGGAAGCAGAAATAACAATGTTTTTCATGGGTGAATGAACAGAACAAGAAATTGGATATCAATCTTAGGCAGATTATTTTTTGTAGTGAAATGAAAGCAGAGTAGGTAGGTAGGTAGGTCTAAAGTGAGTGGGTCTATTCGACCCTCCACCGCAACCCGCAAGGGTTCATTGTGGCTCACACCTATTCACATTCGTCCAAATAAACCCAGCTTCTTAACGAAGCCGATTAGTTTGTATGGTGAGTGGTCTTTCAGGTCAGATGATGAGAGTACAACTCAAAGAACCTGATTCGGTCCCCAGCGGGGCAGACACAAAGTATATGCTCTGCTGTTTAATCATTTTCCAGATAGATGCGACATACACTGTCTTACGACAGTCCAAGTCTCTGCATATGATGATTCAAATGACAGTGGCCTGTAAGAAGGCCTGTTAGACATCGTAGTTCATCCCTACCGTAGTCCAACAACTGTTTGGAATCAAGCTTAGAAGGGTAAATAAACGCCTTGGAGTGAGTCAATCCTAGAAGATTCTGCCAGAAGTCCATAAATCTTCTTGCCATCCAGGTGTTTTGTCTTTGTTTGGCAAAGCCAAAGCGATGCCAATGACAGGTTGTGGTCAAATGAAGCCGCTTGCAGAACTCTCTTTTGCAAAAGCAGAGTACCATAACGATCTGTATTGTGCCCTTCTCGTGCAAAAATAACTGCTTGCCTTCTGTTGGGTATGTTTGCAATGAGATTTACGATATCTTTTTGGTTTTCGGTCGGTGGCAGTTCAAAGCTCTGAGAGACATTGAAAAAGTTGCTGCCTTGAATAGAATGCCGTTTGTTGACTAAGAATTTATTTTTCGAATCGAATCTCATACATATTCAATGGAATTAAGATCTGGAGACTGCGCTGGCCATGGCAAACAGCAATATTTTGGCAATATGAAATCACGCAGAACCTTTGCTGTGTGGAGGCGTGCAGTATCGTGTATGAGTTAATAATTAGTCTCGATGCACACGGTGATCTCGAGATAATACCGCCCTAAAACATCACTGTGTTCCCTCTATTTCTATGCACCTCGTGGACTGCCGCAAGATGTTTTACGATTCTAGGGTGTCTTCACACACGAATTCTTCCTTCTGAAATCTATTTGAAAACCCCAGATTTGGTATTTATACCGTCTGCACGAGAGTAAAGTTCATACTCATGCAGTCCATACTCACAAAGTAATGAACCAATATTAGGAATGAAAAATTGAGATAATTTGATTTACGATTTGATGTGAACTAATTACAATTTTTGCTTATTGGTATATCGTTATGTATATGTGTTGCTGTATTTTCAATTATATCTCAAATTGCTCATATGTGCATTTTGAAAATGTGTCAAAATTTTTCTTTACTCGAAAATAGTAGAAGAGATTGATGTTCTTTGTACAAAATATATTGATCACCTGACCTTTGGCATTTTCCCATTATCATTACATATCACTTCATAAATATGTTTTTGTTAATTGTAACTATATTTCCATGTAAAAAAAGACCTATTATTATTATTATTTTTCAAACCGTAGTTTGCGCTGGTCAGGCCCTATCCCCCGAAGTTCCGATACATTCGGGACCAACGACCACTCCCCACACCGTGGAGAAAGTGATCATTGGTTCCGAGAATCATGAGCCCTGAGCAAGCGCAGTGAGCCAAGAATGACAGTTTTCTTCATCTGTCCGGCTTTAGTGTGGCAAGCCGGTATGATTTCAAGATTCGAGAGTAGAGAGGGCATCATTCCACCAAGGACTCCAATAATCAGAACAACCATCTTGACAAAGTGGTCTGAATAAAGTCTGCAGAGTTCGAAGAGAAAATCTCGATATTTTATCCGTTTTTCCTTCACTTTTCGAAGTTATTCATCTCGCCAGATACTGAAAACTCCACGACAAATGGTCGAGAAGGACTACATTAGGCTTATCAGCTTGTATGAGCCTGAGGGTGGGGATCGAACAGTTCCAATAAATTCGGCACTTCGCGTTCCCCACAACGGATTCAATATCCCCCGGAGCGTAGGGCAACACCAGTGTCTCGTCAATACCATAAAAGTCTCGTAGTTCGTAACGCGGCACTCTTAGGGGCGCATTATGTTGCTGATAGCAAGTGCATCAGTGACTCGGACACCTCGCGGCAGGCCCTGCACCTTGTGTCAGGAACTTCTATACTCATCACGCTACTGCGGTCTACCACAGATCTACTAAGGTGTTGAAGACACCATCCTGGCAAGCCATGATGAACCCCTCAGTTTTCGACTTCAGCCCACTCGAACTGAGGAAAACGAAAGTCAGGCTCTTTGATGAGCCAAGGTCTCCAATGTTATTGAAAAAGACCCCATGCATTGGGTTATCCTTTGTGTTTCCGCAGAAGTGAGGTGATCCCTGCGGCTTTTATATGAGCTTTTTGCTGAACAGGTTGCAACTCGGTGACAGAGATGTGGTCACCTCGTTCAGTGTCAAAAACTAAACCGAGTTCATCAGCTGCTCGGGTAGCTACTCAAAAGAAAAAAGCTCCAATTACTGCTCTCTCATGGTCACGGACCATGCAGAGAAGGGGATCCGAACTCCTGACGACTTTACAGGCTATATTCAGTATCATTCTGTCATGTAGACACTCCAAACTCAAAAGTCCACGGCTTTCCTGATGTCGATGGAAGTACAACCGTGGAATGGACGATTTGGGATGCAAACTCCTATAGAGATGCATCATTTTTCGGGTTTTTACGTCGAGTTGATACAGCTCCTCTCGAGTCCACTTCACCACTCCAAGCGAGTAGAGTAAGATTGGAACGGCAAGCGTATTTGCTGTAGCAACTTTGTTCTTCCTCGACAGTTCTGATGACGAGATCTGTCGAAGCTCTGTCGAAGCTCTGTCGAAGCTTGTGCTGATACTCACCGCGGAGAGAATTCTTCACTGCTGTTAACTCTTGTGTGTTCCGTTGTTCCACTCCGACATTCAAATGGTTATTATTATTATCATCATTATTATTATTGAATCTCTTCCTCTTCAAAAGTTAGAAGGAAATTGGACTTTATAGATCCACGCTGCATACGCGTATTCATGAATTTGATGAAATATATAGGGTCTTCCAACAGACTTCAGAACTTTGAAAACTTTTGACGGTCATCTTGTTGAAGCTACGATTGACTAACACCCGTACATCGACGAAACGCAATATTCACTATAAACATCGCCGCTGTCTGTGAGAGTGTGCAGGAGAATCCGATGCACTGGATGTAGCGTCACTCACAAGAACTCAGCCTTTCGCAGACTAAAACTTGTCGAATTTTGCATCGTGACTTGGGCCTATACCACTTACAAAATTCAACTGACTCAGGAACTGAAGGTAAACAATCATGTGTGTTTGTTGAATGGACATCTGACTCTAATTTCCATAGAACTATCACTTCTGGATGGATGGGTACGTGAACAAATAAAATTTTTGAATTTGCGACCATACCTATCCACATGAAATTCAAGAACGTCTCATGCATCCCATCACTGTTAGGTGTGGATTTTGGGTTGGCAGAGTCACACGAATGAAAACTTTCGATAGGAAGCGCTTTCATAGATTACTTGCTGATAATAACTGTTGATGTAACTGTTATGAAGATTTGCAACATATTGAAAATTATAAGAGCAGGTTATCCACTCTTGAGATATCTTGTCGTTAAAGGTAGAGCGTTGCATCATTATTACGCTTTTAGTAACTTACCTGCCATTGCATAAGTCTTTCTCGATTGTCGAACGCTAACACTACAACCACATCTTGGCATAAAATTGCTACAGTATTTGATTCTTTATCTAAAGTAAATCCAGTCTCTAATCCTAGGAATTGTTGAAGGGAGAGGGAAGCTTTGGTTTGGCCCTGCTTGTATCGATCTTTGGAGTCTCTGTACAGCTGCAGGTGTAGACAGTCTGAAAAGAATAATGAAACATAAATTAGAGAATTCATATAGGTAGATGATGAATCAAATGAATTTGGGGAGAATGGTTACAGCAGGTCCAGTTCAATTCAATCCAGATCATTCATTATCAATTTCAGATTCATCCATAATGAATTTCTCTGCTGTAACCATCTCCTAAATGATATTGGGAGGATGGTTACAGCAGTTCCAGTTCATTTAAATCCAGATCATTCAGTATCAATTCAAAATTATCCATGTTGAATTTCTCATTTGATATGTTTCATATATTTCAACTGAATCCAAATTTGAATTATATTACAATGAAGTATAGACGTGAGTATGGGGATTTTTTTGTTTAGGTTGGACGTTCAGTCATTAAGCCAGTTGCATAGTTGTTACCAGTTAACATTCAATTCAATTCACAAAAATATGTTAGGTTCTTTATTGCACGAATAGATGAAAATAGTTCATCCATACGAATTATGCAATGAAGACAATACTCATAAGTATAAAGTAACAATATACACACAATAATTTTAAACAAAAAATCATAAATAAACACACAATATAGGGAAATTTTCACACATACACACACACACAACAGCGTATTGATGTTTTCTAGATAATTTTTGACGCATTTCAATGTTTTCAAGATTCTCTTTAACGCTATGGAATCTACCAGTTCCCTAATTGATGGGATTTAGATGGAAAATCAGAGAACATCTGGATCGAGAACTAGTTCCAACATCTAACTTCAGCAATGAAGAACGTAGAGCTCTGAACGGCTTACGTAGAGACAACACCATCAAGATCTCACTTGCAGATAAAAGAAACGCTACTGTGGTGATGGATACTGTTATATACAAACAGAAGATCGAAGAGGTTCTTCAGAAGGGACAATACACGACGATGGTACGGGACCCTACTGCATCAATTGAAAGGAAGTTGCACCAGATTTTGAAAAAACACCAAGTCTACTTCTCGGACAAGGAGAGATCATCGCTAACACCGCACCAAGTAAGCCCTCTCACTTGTATGGACTGCCCAAAATTCACAAGAAGGACGTTCCGCTCAGACAGATCATCAGCTCCAGAGAATCGGCTACACAAAACTTGTCTAGATTTTCACTCCCCATAATACAACCATTACAAGGAAAAACATCGTCTTTCGTGAAGAATTCAAGGCATTTTGTCGAACTACTAGAGGCAATTGAAGTCACACATGAAGATCAACTAATCAGTTTCGACGTGGAAAGCTTTTTTACCAACGTTACGGTAGAAGAAGCACTTCAAATCTTACACAGGAAGCTATCCGTAGATAGGGACCTGAAAGATGGAACAAATTTACCTATAGAAGTAATTATGGAATTGTTATTTCCAACTGAAGGACGAATTCTTTACACAAGATGAGGCACTGCCAATGGGATCGCCAGTTTCACTAGACATAGCCAACATATATATGGAGTGGTTCGAAACTCTGGCCATTGAAGAAGCCCACAAGAAGCCCCGTTTCTGGTTAGGATACGTTGACGACACCTTCATAATATGAAACCATGGAATACTGAACTAGACAGACGCCTTCCTGAAACACATCAACAGCGTAAACCTGCCATCACTTTCACAATGGAGAAGGAAGTCCATAACGAATTGCCATTCTTAGACATATTGGTGAAGAGGACTGACACTATGTGGGTATCTGAACCACGAATCCAACCACCATCAATCAACTAAAAGAGAAATCATTAAAACTATATTAGACCGTGCCTTCGGACTTTGTAATATGAAGGAAGGTCTCGAGAAGAAACTAGACATCATGAAAAATGATCTTCAACGGAATGGCTACTCCAAAGCGATGGTGAAACATACTTTTGCTAAAAGACAGCAGTAGCCACGAAAGGAAGAGAAGCCAGTGCTTGCACTTCCGTACATCAGAGGATTATCAGACAAGATATGAAGAACTGGATCCAACTACAACATAATAGAACCTGCTTCAGATCCGGAAACACTATCCGTAGCAGTCTCACGAAAACCAGGCCACCAAACGTGTACTGCGATTCAAAGAATTGCATTTACCGGATACCCTGTGAGTGCAGAAAATCCTATATCGATGAAACTGAGAGGCCATTGAATATTCGAATTGCCGAGCATACCGTGGCTGAATACATATTGTATTCAGCCAAGCTAGCGTAGAGATACACACCATATGGAAACCCATAATCAAGCAAAAAATGGCCAACTCTCACTAAACCAGTGAAGCGGAAAAAGGAAAGCAGAGATAAGTGAAAGTAACTTGGCTTGGAATCTCTTAACTTTTTATTTTTATTTTTTGTTAAATTGTTCTATTTTCACTTGTATTTTATTTCATTATTATTTCATTATTATTTCAGCTACTCATTTTTATCTTTAAGATTCAATTTTTCTATTTTAGTTCTTTCAGGGATTTCAAATCATTTTAAATAATATCAGACGATGGAAGTCCGAACTAATGAAATTCACGCTATTATAGGTTTACTAGGAGCTCCGGGAGGACGTTGACCACTCCAAATTGGTCCAAAGTCCTACATTACCTACAATACCCGAACTCTGGATAATATAACTTTTTTCTAAGTGTTACTTACATGAAATGAACATTGCGTTTCAGCATTAGATGATTTTTTGTTAATCATTCTTCCACTTTCTTGGAGGAACCTATTTAATTCCAAAAATTACGATCACTCTTACTGCAGGTAGCCATGTATAATGAAATATCATTTGAATGTGTTCAAAATGTAAAATAACCGCAAAATAGATCTCTGGGGAATTCGTGTTTTAATATATTAGAATGTGATACTGTCGCAACTCAGTTCTCGCTTGGCTGTTAACGAGAGGATTTTTATTTGCTGTTTCACCCACTCATTCATTCATCCCAAATAATGAAAGAACTCATTTTAAACTTAATTGAATATTTATTGTAACAGAAACGAAAAATACATTTTGGATTAACTCACACTCAAATGTTAATAAAAATAATACATTAAAATAATCAAAAAACTTACATTATACTGCCACCCAACAGGATCGAAGAGAAGTAGATGTGCTGCATTGCTGATGATTAATCGATACTCAAATGAATACTGAATACTGTCTGTTGACTGTTGACTGTTAACTATTAACTATGATCCATGATCTTGACCTCCCTCAATATTTATAAAGAATTATACGCTGACATTGCGACTTTGATCCGGTCACTGTACTGAGGTAAAATGCACAGCTCTTACATTATACTGCCACCCAACAGGATCGAAGAGAAGGAGATGTGCTGCATTGCTGATGATTAATCGATACTCAAATGAATACTGAACACTGTCTGTTGTCTCTTGACTGTTAACTATGATCCATGATCTTGACCTCCCTCATTATTTATAAAGAATTATACGCTGACATTGCGACTTTGATCCGGTCACTGTACTGAGGTAAAATGCACAGCATTTTTTGCAGCCAACTTTGCGTATTTGGAGATTGTTTTATATGTCGGATCAATTTCGATGTCTATGAACTTGAAATATTAAAAGATGGAATTCTGAATACTGAGTGTTCTTGTGTTAAAATATTGAAGTTAGGTTGGAACATCTTTCAATTCATGTATTTACTTAAATGAATCTGAATCATTTCATGATTATTTTCTATATTTGACACATTTCCCCTCCACGTTAATGCTGGCCCCCAGCTTTTTGGGGGCCATTTCGGTCGGTAGCCATGCGGTTCGACGTGTGAGCTTTGTCCACTCGCATTGACTGCCATGTCGGTCGGTGGTTCAATCCCTAGTTTGAACGATCGATTTTCACTTGCTATTGTCCAACCTGTATTATGAATCACACGTTGAAAGGTGAGTCCTCGTTAATCCTTAGTTCGAACAAGTTTCGACTTCTGAGGGTTGTCCTTTGTTGGGGTGCGACAGTTGTTTAACGGAAAAACAGATTTTGAACAGATTTGCTAGATAGGAGTGAAATTTGTCTCATTTCATAGAAATCACGTTGATTGGCGAGATTACCTTGACCTGATCAAGAAGATCAATACCAATTGATCTGTGTTTTTTTTCGAAAGTATTTATAATATTACAAACTACTTTTTTGTGTCGTATTTGTTCAAAGATTTCATAAAACCACATTGGTTTGCTTTTATCAGGTCATATTTATGAAAATTCGTGCATAAAATTATATTTTACAATGATTCTCAGTGTCATAGCAAACCTCTAGCCGTGTTTGTTCATAAAAACCAATTTTTCAATGCATGTATTGAAGAGAATGGTGAGGAAGGAGTTCCTTAAAAGAGTTCAAATATTTATCGATACTAGAAATTGAAAAATCAGTATGAAGAAATAAGACTGAGAATTTAATAAATTAGCTGAAAGAGTTGACTTTTTATGTGAATCTGCCAATAAAAACCGAAAAACGACTCTGTGAACTTGGAGAAATAAACTGATGAATGAAGGTGGTAAATAATACAGAAGTTTTTTTAAACACAGTTCACTTGACCTCTTGTCAAGATAACAGATAACTTCAAAAACGAGCTTGTACTCTTCTTTGACTTTGATCAAACAAAAAAAGTATTCAAAATTTTCTTCCTCATTGTATGAAATCGAAATATTGATAATTTCTGTATCTCTGTAGTTTCAATTCAGAACAATGATTTCAATATGAATTGAAGTGTTGCTCAGTAAAACGGAAATAACCAGAAACTGATGTTTTGTTTTCGTGTTGACAGTGATAAATCACTTGAATCTTCCCTAGTAATGTAAAGAAAATTCCATATTTTCATTTCCTAAAGCGAAGTCCAATTTTCACACAACAACACAACCAACAAATATTCAAATCAGAAAGTTGCTAGAGTTCTACACAGTCGCATATTTCTACCGAAATGGGTTTGTGTAAACGGATTCAGCTCGTTGTCAACAGATTTGCTAGTGATGTAGAGTGAAAACAAAAACACTACGAAACTTTATCGGTTGTAATATGTTCGTGTCGTGACTGATATTTCTTATTCAGATAAGAACTGCGAAGGATATAATG